GTCAAATTGAGTCGAGTTTAAAATTTATATAACTTGAATCAAATCAAATTGAAAGATTTTATAAAATAAATTTGACTCGACTCAACTCGAAAAAGATGAGTCGAATAGAGTTGGTCTTTAAACTCAACTCGACTCGACTCATTCGGAACTCTAATGACAACACAAAATAAGTAGGTTTCTGATAACATTAAGCTTTATGTAAATGATCTAAGAGGAACAACAAAAGCATTGAAATAAGATTAAGATAATATGATTTCTAAGTATTTTAATATTGATCACATTGAAAAGGGTCTCATTTTCATATATCTTCAGTAGTTAGAATTTTTTATCTATATTCATTATCATGCTATGTAATAGTTTTTATGTATTGTAGGTCAGTTACCAGTAACTATTTTATTTCATAAATAAAGTATTATTTTATCAAACGTATATGAGAACAGGTCACGTGTAATGATGCAATGACTATGCGATATAAAAGTTTATATTAATGCCTAGTATTCTTTTTTCCAAACAGAAATAAAATTTTATCTCACTTCAGAACGTAACACTATTTTTGTCTAAGCCTAATATTCTTATAAAAACGTAATGCTATATCTGAAACTAGTACACCTTATATTCTAACTTCTACTGTTATCTTTGGTAATAATGAAACGGTCTTACTAGCAGATGAAATTAAAAAATATGACACAGCCAAGCTTATAGAATATTTGCAAGAGTAAAACTTAAGGCTTAGTAAAACGGCTATCAAAATTTTAGAGAAGAAAAAGCTTAATGGCAGGAACTTCTTTAACATGATCGAAAAAAAGTATATACAAGATGGTTTAGCAAAAGGACCTACTATAAAACTTATAAAATTCACTAAGGAGTATAAGGATAAGAAGTTGAAGGCCTTTTTAATATACCACAGTTTGAAAGAAATTCTAGTAAAATATGACATTAAATCCAATAACATAGATGCCATTCCACTCTTTTTGTTATAACCCTCTAAGATTCAAAATTACAACAAGCATTTAGGATATTGTGTAAAAAATATTTTGTTCAAGATAAAGCATTACGGATCTTTAGTTGTGAATAACTTAAAGTCTATGCACAATGGATATATTTTGATCATACTTCATACAGCCCTTAATATTGTAGAAGATGAAATAAGTAAGGAATTTAATATGAGGGCCTGAATTTGAAATAATTAGAAAAGAGAGTTCTGGTTGGGTCGATTATGCAATAATAATATATGAGTTTTTTCTTGGCATTTTTCGTTCATATTTTTTGAGTATAAACTAATACTATACCTGTCTTTTAGGAATCAGAAAACCTTATTTATGTCATTGAGAATAAGGTTCAGAATAATATTCTTAAAGGTTATACCTAAAATATAAAACAGCTTGATAGCTTCTATGAAACAAACAGGAGAGGAAAACGAAAATGTGAAGATAATGATTTTGATTATCTATATGGTATCATGACTACTGTTAGAGATTAGCATTTTCTACTTTATAGTCCAGGTGAAATTTCTCAGGTAAGTGAGCTTCCACTTACTATCAAATTTAACAAGAAGATCTTGGTCAAAGATTTTGAAAAATATAAAACGTTACATAGTGACATGAAAAATGTCTTAGATATAGTAGTTAAAATATTAGTAAATAAGGCAAGTGCAGAAGATGAATCTCTCTCAAAGAAAAAAGCTAGGGTAGAGGGATATTGATCAAAAAAATAATCATATATATTAACCTAGATGTCATATATCAGTTGTATCACAAGCTACATCCTGAACTTTGTATTTATTTTTCATATGTATTAATAAAAATTGAATTTTATAGGTATATATGATAAGCGAAAAAAATATAGTCATAGAATGAGAGTTTCGTAGCTATATATAAATTTATATCATATTCACATTTTAACTGTAAAGTCATATTAGAGCTAATACATGCTCTGACTCTAAAATATCTTTTTTATGAATGCGTCATATAATACATTTGGTTTATATCTTAAAAGTACTAAATTCAGATTATGGAGAAATTTCATGAGCATCTCATTCTTCCAAGTTTTTATCTCTTTTTGCTCCCAAGTTATTCCTATTAGTGTGATTAAGTTATTATTAGAATAATTCATTCAGATTAGATTCTGAAGTAAGGATTGTTTATTTTTTTCAAGGTAAATAAACTCATTCTTCCTATAACTGCAGATTCTATACTAATAGGAAAGTTTTTACGAATATCTGCTCTATTAGCTAAGATAGATAAAGGTAGAATTAAGGCTGAATAGTAGAAGTCGGTTAAGAGATTCAGCTCAAATTCACCTACATATATGATTCCAATATCTTCTAAATAATCTGAAAGATTATCAATATATTTATAACCTTCATGAATCAACTTTTTGGAATAGCTTTCTGTTTAGATCAATCCATTAACCAATTAGAATGTTGAATACTATTTTTTCTGTGTCCATAGATAATGATTTATGCTGTGGTATATGATTAATCGTTTATGATACAGTAAACCCTCTATAAGTACATGCTCTCAGGACTGATTATTTTCATATTTAAGGAGGGTATGCATTTATAGAACAGCTAATAAAATAGCATATAATATTACACAATTATCACAACCTTAAATTTTTTATTGATTTTATTAAAATTTGAATATTTTTTTCTGATACATTTCAAATTAAACATTATACAGCATAATTATAAGCTAAGGATTACTAAAATATATATCGATATTTGTTTGTTACATTGTGTTTATTTTTTTGATTTTAAAAAACTTTTCAAGTTTTCCTATTAACTTCAAATATTCTTTCGCATTAAAGATGGCGTTGCAACTAGTTGCAACCAGTAATAAATAAGCATCACAGGGTTGCAACTAGTTGCAACATTAATAAAAATTGAGTTGCAACTAGTTGCAACCAGTGACAAATAAGTATCACATGGTTGTAACTAGTTGCAGCGTTATCTTTATTCCGCATTATCCTGTTAGAGTAGAAACATATATACAGTATTCAAACTGGCAATAGCAACGCTAGTACTAATAACGGGACTTTCACAACTGTCATCTTTCTCTTCTAAATACATATTTTTCTCATTAGTATTTTTAAAAAGATAAGCAAGTTCTTTAATAACTTGATCATCTTTAGGAACTTTGAAAATAACATTCTCTTCAGGAATATTAAAAAATTCTTTTAACTACATTGAATGAAAAAGATTAAGAGTCTGAATATTATCTGCAAAATCATTAAGCACTGAGTCTTCAGATCGATAGATATCTTCTAATGTATTTCTCGCATCTGTTTCTTTATTGATACTAGAGGGAAGAATTTTTACATGATGCCAGCAATTACAAATTATTTCAACTTTAACCTCATCCCATGCTTTAATAATGAAACAAACTGCTTGTAAGACATCTATGCGTAAGTCTTCTACATGTTTATCTGCTTCTATATGTTATAACATTAAACTTTAAAAAAATTAATAATTAATTTTAATTACATAAAAGGTACGCGAATTTTATATTAAAACTTATTATATATGGAAATGGTGATAATTTCTTTTAAAAATCATGATTATTCTAGCATCCATTGGCTGGATTTTTAAGGTTGTATTTGGTGGTAGAAAATGAATATCAGTGTATTGTAAAGTAAGGGCATCTATTTTGTGACTGGAATAGTTATCGATAAGGAGTAATACACGTTGACCTTGATACTTTAGACTAACTTAGTGATCAAATTCCTGAGTCCACTCTTGAAAGAGTGATATAATCATCTAAGCTTTGGCATTATTTCAGTATATTATAGGTATATTTTGTATTTTTATATTTTTAAAACAACGTGGTCTTTCATATTTACCAATTACTAAAGGTTTTAATTTATGAGAGCCATCAGTGTTCATACATAACGCAATTGAAAGACGTTCTTTATTCACCTTATGTCCAATAAGACGTTTGGTTATAAGTGTTTGATCCAGTTTTAATCTATAATTATGCAAGATAAGTATACTTTTTGTTTTATTTTTTATTCTTTAATTTATATACTAAAAATTTTACCTGTAAAATAGTTCAGTTTCATCTATATTATAGATTCTTTTAAAAGAATAATTAGAACAATTTTCTCTCAATAAAGGTAAAGCATTGGTAATTGCAATTTCATCAGCAAATGAAGCTTCTTCTATAAGCTTTCATTGATAAATTCAATTACGATCTTTAAATTTTTGAAACTATTCTTGAGAAAATTGAAATGAATCTCTAATCTATTAGCAATCAATTTGGCTTTTTAAATAAGTATTACATTACTTAAAATTATTCAATATTGATAGTTTAAAATAAATTCTTTAAGTGCAAGTTCAAGCTCTAAATAGAAAACAGGTTTATTCCTTAAACTGTAGAGATTCGCAGGCAAATTTGCCTGCTTATTTACTATAAATTCCTTTCTGATTTACTTTTATGAAAAATTAAAATTTTTAAAAAAT